ACGTACACGGATCCGTATAAGTTACTGGATTATCCGAAATACTATGACTGGAACGCCTCGCATCACGACCTTAGGAAGATCCGGATGCGACCCCTTATGCACACCCGAAGGAGCGACGTGCCTGCCGAGAATAGAGAGCTGGTAGGCTGTACGCCCGCTGATGGTGCCTTGCGAGTCAGTTTGAGGGATCTTAAGAAGACCAAGGGAGCTGCTAAGGAGGAACCGGTACCTGGAGCGGGAATTGCCAAACGGCCGACGCTCAAAATTCGCGTTTCGAGCGTGACGCCAAATTCTGCGGAGCTCCCCGAGAGCGAACTGACTAGTTCAAGGGAGTACCGTGTCACGATACCTTTCAAGACCAAGCTCGTGCGGGATGGCGTTCAGTTTGTTGGCGTTGATGCTGGAGATCTTCGATATCCGCATGCCTATACTCGACATTCCATCGAGCCAGGCACTGCCTCTTGTATCTTCCCCTGCATCGACGATCCCGGCACGCTTCCGACGTGGACGATGGCCGTCAAATGTCCGAGGACGCTGGGCGATGCACTTTGGCAACCACTGGCTACCCAACACAGGAATGGTAATGCCAATGGCAACCGCGATCGCGGGGCAAACCAGTCCAAGGCTGACAGAGACTTCGCCCTTACCGAGGAAGACAAGCTTCTAGAGATGACAGTCGTTTGCTCTGGCATTTTGTCAGACGAGATCGTCGACCCTGAAGACGAGCAGAAGAAGATTATGACTTTCGAGATGGAGAAGCGAGTTGCCGTGCAGAAAATCGGCTTCGCGGTCGGTCCGTTCGAGCACGTCGACTTATTCTCAGATTTTCGCACGGAAGAGAACGACGAGAAACTCGGAGCTAGCGCGCTCAAGATTCACGGCTACTGCCTCCCGGGAAGAGCTGCAGAGGTCCAGAACACGTGTGCAGCGCTCGCCGCGGCTGCTGACTTCTTCACCCTCACGTTTGCTCGATATCCATTCGACAACTACAAGATGTGCTTTCTCGATGACATGGTGGAGGATACGGTAGCCCTCCAATCACTCTCCTTCGTTAGCACCCGCCTACTGTTCCCCGAGGACATCATCGACCTAGAGGTAGACGTCACAAGGCAATTGGTGTACAGCCTGGCCTCGCAGTGGAGTGGGATCAACCTTTTCCCCAATACTCGCAGAGACCTTTGGGTCGTCATCGGCATCGCCTATTACATGACCGATCTTTTCCTGAAGAAACTATGCGGCAACAACGACTACAGGTTCCGGATGAAGACAATGTCAGACAAGCTGGTGACAGTTGATATCAAGCGACCATCACTGCACGAACTTGGCCATTTCCTGCACATTGGAGATTTCGAGATGGAATTCATGGCACTCAAGGCGCCCTTGGTGCTCTTCATTCTCGACAAGCGGTTGATGAAGGCACCTGCTCAAACCAACCTCACACGCATCATTTCCCGAATTCTTTACAAGGCCAACATCGGAGACAGACAGAGCGAATGGATTATCAACACGGAGTCGTTTCAGCGGGTTTGCGAAAAGAATGCCAGGAACAAACTGGAGGCGTTCTGGAACCAATGGGTTTACGGCTCGGGCTGCCCCAGGTTCGACGTTTTTCAACGTTTCAACAAAAAGCGACTCTGCGTCGAGATGACTATAAGACAAGTTCAGGACAAAGCCCTGACTGAAGCTGAGCTCCTGAAGAAATCAGAATTTCTTCGCGCCATCAAGGAAAAGGCGCATGGTGTCAAGACGGACGAAAAGGCCGGTCTTTTTACAGGTCCCATGACCATCAGAATTCACGAAGCTGATGGAACGCCTTACGAGCACATAGTGGAGATTCGCGAGGATGCTGCTAAGGCCGCTAAGTTCGAGATTCCTTACAACACCAAGTACAAGCGATTGAAGAGGAAGAGGAGAGCAACGGAAAAGCTCAGCGCACAGTCTGCTGCCGACCCTGACAATAACGAAGACGCACTCTTATATTGCCTGGGCGACGTTCTGACCAACCCCGAAGATATGAGGAAGTGGGATTTTTCCGAATGGGAGCCCGAGATCGAAAAGGCCATGGACCAAGAGTCTTACGAGTGGATTCGGATGGACGCTGACTTTGAATGGGCTTGCGAGATGAAGACAAATCTCCAGAGCTACATGTACGTGTCCCAGCTCCAGCAAGATAGGGATGTCGTGGCGCAGCAGGATTCGATGCTTTATCTCAAGAAGAGTCCGCCTCATCCACTGGTTTCGACGTTTCTTACCAGAACCCTTGTCGACCGGCGATACTTCCACGGTATTAGGACAATGGCTGCGGAGATGCTATATCACCACGCCGCGGATAAGGTCTCAATGGCTGGTATGACCCATCTACTGAAAGCCTTCACCGAGATGTTTTGCTATGCCGATACCTCCATGCCTCGGCCAAACGACTTTTCCGACAAGAAGCAGTACACCGTGCAGAGCGCACTGCCTATGGCCATTGCAAAGATTCGCGATGCCAACGGTAGATGTCCCGAAGCCGCACGACGGTTCCTTCTGAATCAGGTTCAGTTCAACAACAATGCCAATAACCCATACTCGGACCATTTCTACGTTGCCAAGCTTTTGGAGGCTCTCGCCCATAGCTTGATTCCAGAGAAGCGACGGGAGTCAGACGATGCCATGGAGGTGGACATGTCAGCCGAAGAGAGAGGTTTCCTTAAGGAGGCTATCGTCGAGATTGATCGCTTCCGTAGGATGGACGAATGGGCCAACTCTTACCAGAACATCTGGACGACCACCGCGCTCGAATGCAGACGCAAACTCATGAAAGCCGGAGTGATTCCCAAAAGTGCTGTGGCCTTTGTCCAGTACTTGCAGGATGACACGTGCGACTTGGTTCGACTCAAGGCTTTCGAGGCTCTGGTGGATCTGGGTTATTTGATGGATCTGCCTATCTTCCGCCTGATTCTTTCCGTCATGAGCACTGATCGGTCTCCATTCGTGCGGGATAAACTCGTCAAGATCTTCTGTACAGGTCTGGCTAGCCTCGCCTTTGGAGAGCAGTCGAAGGCCAAGGTGGCACCTGCTGTTCCTGATGGCGGGCTCATGATTGTGGATAATACAGAAGCAGAGACGCAGAAGAGGCGAAAAGAATTTGCTCGAAAGCAGGATATCAACGTCGCACTCGAGGCTTTGAGGACAGAGATGGAAGAACAGTTTTCAGAGCAAGAAGCGGCACTGGAGCGAGCTTTCTGGAAGGCTATCAATTCTAACCTGATCGGGCGTTCCGAGAAGATCACGCTGCTGGAGCTTTGCGGCACCATTGTGGATGCTGCTGACCGATGGACGATTACTTTGAAGTATCCTAAACGATGGAGAGTTAATCGTCCTGTCCAGCGTCAACCTGGCAGAGTCAGTTTTCCATTTGGAGTTGGCTATTTCGTCGTTTATTTTGCTAACAAACGCGCAGAACATCATCAACTTCAAGGCGTTCTTCAAGACGGGCATACCGCAAAAGATCAAAGAGCCCGAACCACCGGCGCCAGTACCAGCACCGGTATCTGCACCTGCGCCTGCTCCTGTAGTTGTACCATCTCGGCCGCCCGAACCCAAACGACTCATCGTCAATATGAAGAGTGGTGTTGCCAAACCCAGCAAGCCTACGGTCTCCCTTCCACGCCCCGCTCCCACGGCCTCTCGCCCATCGCCGGTCTCTGCTGCACAGTCTCCCGTTCCAAGCGCCGCACCGTCCCCTATCCCTCGGGAGGCAGACTCCATTGTCGCGCACTCGAATGCCAAGGCATCTACCCCAAAGCCGTCATTCTCAAAGCTCCCCGGGTCAAGGCCGCCGAGTGTGAAGCCAGGTATCGTCAAGGCAGGCATCGCCAAATCTGTGGTGTCTTCGGCGTCATCGTCGTCGTCCATGCAGCAAAATGGCCGTTCTACTCCTCAACCAACACCCGAGCCCGGCAGCAGCAAATCGCAGAAGCGGCCTCGGCCCGACAAGATCCCGGGGGTTGATGAGGCATCGCCAGCTCTCAAGAAGGCGAAGCTTACTGTCCGACCTGACGGCACTGTGGTTAAGAAGCGCAGGATGTTCAAGTTCCGGCATCCCAACCTCAGGAAGATCCTGAAGAAACTTGGTGTCAAAAACCAGATGCCCTACAGAGATCCGTCAAAGATTCGCAGACCTGGCACACCGTTGAGTGTTCGTGCTTCTCCCGCCGGATCACCAGCCCCTCCCCCATCTGAGAGCATCAATGCGAAGCCGGCTCGCAAACCTCTCCCTGGCGCACCGTCCGCGGCCAGTCCTCCTCCACCAGTTCCGGCATCCCTACCGCCGAAGCCTCCGCCGCAAGCATCACCACCTCCCGTTGAAGGTCAGCCTGCCCCAAAGAAGGTAAAGCTTGTCATCAAGAAGCCTTCCAGTTCGCTGCCCAAATAAACGGTCTTAAGCCGCTTGCTCATGGGATGAAGCCAGAGATATGAGTCGCCGGCAGGAAATGCCAATGCGTCTCTTATCATGCCCTCAACTCACAAATCACCTCCTTTCTCCCATCCTCACAGTCATCTTATCATGCTTCCGAAATGGGGTTGCGTGAATTCACATTACATTTTAGGCGTTCTTCCAGGGCTTGAGACAGCGGAGGTTAGGCGGGATTATACATTATCATTACAACTAGGTTTTAGGGGAAGTGAAACGTGGCAAACCACAGCGAGGGGTTAAAAAAAGAATAGGGGCACGAGAAAAGGATCGCGACGAGCGTCCCCAGCGTGCCGTGCTTTTTGTGTATTAGTAAAACAAGAAACACTTTCGGAAGGGAAGAGAGAGGGACGAGGAGGAGGAAATAGCCAACCTCAAAGTCGTAATGATACCTCCCTCAGTCTAGTATGCCTCTTCATTTGCCCATCGGTCCTCTTGACGTATTTATGCTCGAGACTGCATGTATGACTGCGGACAATTTCTGAGCGGATGAACCGCTCCGCTAGGCATGGTATTCTCTTCCCGCTCGTCATACTTCCCCCGCATGCTGAAGACGACGCATGCGACAATGCAGGATGTTTCAACGTCTGCAATCATGACAGAAAACGGGCATAGTGGGGGTTGCGCCGCGAGTGGTGGGCTAGTTCCGAGATGGCCAGTTGAAATTGTAGGTATCCTAGCGACAGAGCATAAATCAGAGCCAAATTCTGACAGTCGTATATCGTCAGAATGTCGCCGTCATACTGTGATATCTAAGGGAGGATACCGAGAGTCTCCCGACGCGGAAAGCCCTGCAAAGGTTTTTTAGCAGGTGGGTAAGTAGAAAGCCACCCGGCAAAACCGGTGCATTATCGACCAAACGCTCACAACGAATCCACACGAGTTTAGTTCCCGTACTTTATGAATGCAAACTGGGTAAAAAGGTTTGCTGTGAAATTTGTATTTCTTGTTTGACTTCGCTGGTTGTACACGCCCTACATCCTGACTGGATCGCGCCGTCTTTGATGATATTAGAGCTAATGGGATATTCTACAAAAGGAAGACACAACCGCTCCGAAAATAACTGAAAAAGGAAACGAAGGATGGAAAGGGGAGGCAACGTGGGCGGCCCACCGATGTAAGCCGTAACCAAGTTGCTTCTGCCAAAACAGGATTGGGAGTCGCTGTCCCCTTCCTTCTTAGGTTCACGTGCGTGATAGTACTTTCACCCTTACCTCTGTCTTGCCCCAGTCCCATAAACGCCAGTCTTTTTGGTAGTTCCAAGTAGCAGGATAAGAAAGCAAAAAGCCTCGCCCTTGCGATGAAGAAAAATGAAAACCCCCATGGACCCTATTCAAGATGTGCCGCGCTCTATTGAGAAAAGGTGGTATTAGAGAGAGCTGTGCCGCGAACCGAATTAATGAGAGTGTCCATGGTCGTCGTGGCTGTGACCGTTGCCGTGGTCATGGTCGTGACCGTCATGGCTATGGGTAGACTGGCTGCGCACACTTCCAGCAGCTGTAGACTCGGTACAACAGCCACCTGCTTCGCAGTTGTCTACGCACTGTAACAGACAAGTCTGCTTTGGCGAGCCAGCAATGGCAGTGCCATCGTATTGAGTAATGCGCTCAGGCTCAGTGACATTGTGGTGCTCGTCATCACCGCAAAATTCGGGTTGGATGGTGGCCGCGTGAATGCCGAAGCCGTGGAGACATCTGCGGGCCGACTTTGCAAGCTTCATGTACTTCTCGCCGTTCTCGGCGGAGATTGGGAAGTTGACATGGACGTGAAGAGAGGCAACAATCTTGGTATCGGAGAGTTGCCAGACGTGAACGTGGTGGCAGCTGATGACACCTTCCAACTTCTCAATGTCCTCGCGGATCTCTTGAAGGTCGATGTTGTCGGGGGTAGCCTGGAGAAGGACCTTGGAGGTCGCCTTCGTGAGGGGGATGGCGGACTTGAGGATAATGAGAGTAATGAACAGAGAGACAGCGGGATCGGCATAGAAACGGCCAGGCCAATCGGTCAGCCAGATAATAAGAGCGGTGACAATCACACCGACGTTACCAAGAGCATCACCAATGACATGAAGAACCATGGCGTTCATTCCCATATCGCCGTGGTCGTGGCCGTGGCCGCCAGAGGCCTTCTTGCGCTCCTTGTTGTGGTTGTGGTCGATGTGAAGGCTGGACTCGCGTCTCGAATGCTTGTGGGAGGATCGGCCACGGGAGTTCTCGATCATGTAGGAGTGGTCGTTGCCCTTAGACTTGAGCAGAGGCGACTGCTCATCAGGCTCGCCATCCTCGATGACGGTCTCCTCGACCTCGCTCTCGCTCGTGGTCGATTCCTGTCCGTCACGCTGAGAACGGCTGGCGTCAATAATTTCCTGGCGGAAGCTCGAAGGATAGATGCTAATGTCTTCAATGCTAGTGAGACGCGAGTGGTTTCGCGAGCTGTTTCTTCGGTTCTGGCTCTTGGAGGTGGCCGATGTGCGGCTTTGGGCTCGGCCCGACGGGTCGGACTCCCCATCGAAGCGAATGCGACGGGGCGTCTCAGGGTTGGCACCGGCGGAGGCTCTAGCGACGATGGCTTCAGGAAGAACATCGCCAACGTTGCCACCATCGTTGTCCGTAGCGTGCGAGACGTGGGCGCGGCCTTCCTCGGCAGCATGTTCTGCAGAGTGGGGGTGATCGTGTCCGTGGTCGTGCTCGCCGTCGCCGTGATCGTGATCGTGGCCGCCGCCGTGGGAGTGGCCATGGCCGCCGAGGACAAAGAAGCCGACGAGGTTGGAGGCAAGGCCGAATGCACCAACAACGAGAATAAGAACGGGGTTTTCGATTTCGGGAGGGTCAAAGAATCGGGTAATGGCCTCGAGAATAATAGAGACGCAGAGAGCGATGAGGAAGACGGCATTGAAGAAGGCGCCGAGAATCTCGGCTCGCAACCACTGCACACTCAAGTCAGCTCCACGTTGTCTTCAATCAGTGGGAGGGGGATGACATACACCGTAGGAGTACTTGTCGGTAGTAGCCTTTCTTGCGACGGCGACGGCCCAGAGTCCGACACAGAGAGAAATGATGTCGTTGAGCTACTTGAATTAGCGATGTGTCGCACGCGGCGCGGCAGGGTAGTATCGGAGCAAACGCACCATGTGGAAGGCATCGGCAGTCAGGGCCAGCGACTTGACGACCAAGCCAACAATCAACTCGACGAGAAAGAAGACGACATCGATGGCCAGCATGATGCTGATCCGCGTCGACTTGGACCACGCCATGATGGGCAAATGTCGTTTGGTCGCGGAGGATGAAGGGAGAGGAAGAAAAGAGCTCTGTGAGCCCCGGACTGTATCGGGTTGGCCCAGTGGGCAGGTTGTGATAGAAGGTTACGTCGTTGTCGCTGTGGTCGCTTTTTGTCGCCGTTGCCCGTTGTTGGTTGAAGATGGGCGGATCGGGGGACAAGGGGGGAGGGGGAAAAGAAGGAAGAGAGTGAAGGTGGAGGGGCGTTGCCGGAATGATATTTGAGTGCTGCTGCGCAGAAGTGGGAGGGTTAAAAAAGATTGAGTTTTTGGGGAGGGTGTAGTAGTGGAGAGTGGCAGAGTGAGGACGCGAGTTGAGTTTGGCGCTACGCTGTATCTTGACCTGACGGGGTGGGAATAATATCGATCTCGCTCTGCATTGATTAATTGCCTGCTTGCTTCCTTCCTTTGCTGCTTTGCTTGTCGGTGCTCAGTGCCCACTGCTCTAGCTACTGCTGCCACTCTCTGTCTTGTTTCTTCTTTTCCAGATGATGTACGGGATGCCGATAATTAATTGGGATGGGTCATAGTCGGAGGGGGGTTAAAGATAGAGAAAAAAGCCGGGACGCGGTCGGACGCGGCGATGGCACAATGCGCAATCCAACAGCGAACGGTTTGTAGAGGTAGTTAGGTATTGATGTATTCCTAAGTCAGGTAGGTGGGTATCATGACGGAATGGGGATTTCCTTCCTTTTTTCCACCCACTCGTTGTAGATTGTCTCTCTCTACCTCGCCTTATTAGGTGGTGTACGAAGTATCAATACGAATTTGGATGGAACCCATTTCTCTCCCCAACAGACGAATAACACGTGCTTGCTGTTGGCTGCTCCCAGCACGCAAAACCCAAACAAATGAGATGGATGCAAAGGGACCAGGGGGCGACTCCAACTGAACGGGAAGGGGAAAGACTCAAAGAGCATGGGGCAAGGGGGGGCAAATGGCATCTCAGGGCACCGTCAACTCAGACAGAAACATCAGCTCTGCCTTAGTAAGGTAAAAGGGGCATTTCCCAGGGAGGTCTAGAAATTTTAGGAGTGATGGAAGCAAAGAGAAGGGTGCTTTCCATGCTCGCGACTGCCTTAATGTAGTGAGGTAGACTGCACCAGAAGCATCAAACGCAAGGTACCCGAGCTGGGCGACAAGTTCTGATTCAAGGCCAGGCTAAGAAGCCCCGAGTGCATCGGAAATGCATCGGTCCTCCGCTTCAGCACCGGCCCCATCGCCGCTACCGCCACCGTAACTCAGTGACAAAAAGACCGAGCTTCGGACATGCACACATATGCCCGTAAGCCTTACAGCCTGAGATCAGCCTGAGATTAGACGAGGGATAGGAACGATACTCCAAATCTGTGAAAGCTTGCAGAGTGAAAAGCCACGCTGCAGATTAGACCGTGATGATGCAGCACTATCAAAGCTTCCGGTTTTCTATCCAACAGTAGAAACGTCCCGTCTCTCTACACGCATTCTTGGGCGATGGGCTGACGGGGGCGGCTTGCGATCAGCCTCTCATTGGCCTAATGAGGTCAAGAACTCCCCCACCACACCTGCCCACATCGCAGCTTCTTCGTAAGGTATGATGTATCCAAGTACCCGGACGATGTAAAGGTCCTGCTAAACGGAGGCAAGTGCGAACAATACGTATCTCTTCCCTTTTGCTCCTTCTCACCAGCCAGCCAGCCACCAGCCAGCCTGTTCCAGCACTTGTCTTGCCTTCCCTTCCGAGTCCCGACAATTTTCTGCAACACCACCACCACCACCGCCTACAGCTCTTCAGAGACGTTCAAGTGCAACCGCAGCCCAGCTCGCCATTCGGTTCGGGGCACCACCGTACCGTTACGGTGGGAAATATCGGCTCGGAGCTTTTTTATCATCGGCTGGCACTTTACCACTGTTACACCCGACCATTCCCCAACACCCAGTCTGCCAGTGACTCAATCCCCAGGGTCTGAGGTCAATTCGTCATGCGTTGATCACTCCTTTTCGGGAATCACTGACGCATCTTCTCAATGACCCCAGCCAGCCCCGATTTCGGCGCCATTCCCAAGAAAATCGACATCTCGCCCCCACGACTGAAGCTGTCAGTCGTTCTCGTTGCCGACCCTGTTCGCCCTGCGAGTCTCCCAAGCATCTGCTTCCCATCCTTGTCACCCCCGGCTGCGATATCCCCCCATCGCGTCCGGTCGGCCAAGCCGGGAGCCGTTGTGGACTCTACCGCTCGTTCCCGTCGACTAAACCTTTTCGCGACTCTCTCTGGGGCTTAGACACTTTTGTTTTTCGTCAGCGGTGCTGTCTTTCCACGATTTGTATCGGAACGCGGAAGACCTTCTCACCTATCCTCCGAAAACACCGCTGCTGTGAACACGAGAGCATGAAAGACCGCGGACAGCGGCATGGCTCACTGCGGTTGACAGCACTTGTTCCCTGATAGATCTCCGCTACTAACAAAAACGACCAGCACAGCGGCGTATCTAAGTACGATTGTCAATAAGATGTTCATAAGCTAGAAGGTTACGAGCGTCTCTTACGCTGCAGTTCCCGCGAAAATCTCCCCTCGTTTTGCATTCGTTGTCAGACCTACACACAAAGCAAAGGCGATGGTAAAGGCACATATCATGCCCACTTTCGCTGACCAGCTAGACACGTACGAAAAGCCGACGATGGTTCCGATGAGCAGAGTTGCAGCGAGTGCAATACAGATCAGGCCGACTGCCACTGTGATTGACTTTTCGTTATAGCGACGGATTCGATGGAGCCCATCGCGGGACAGTTCATCCTTGACAGTGTCAGAATGACTTAAATGAGATGCTGGAGAACACATTACCTGTCCCGGCCAACAGGCTCGGAGCCGTTTCGAGAGAAAGTCGGCCTCTGCTGGCACTTTCAGGGAAACTAAATCCGTCTCGTCTTCCAAGAAGTGTCTTGAACTTCCACCAAGCACTGGCAATGGCTGCTCGAGCCAGTTCCTCACTCAACCTTCCCAAGTCTTCTGGCAGATGCACATACAGCATTGCAGCAAAGGCTGAGACAGAGTTCATAGAAGCCTTGCCCGATACAGGGGCCCAGTTCAACATTATCTCAGCCCACTTGGCTCAAAAATTGCGTCTTGAGCCCAAACCTCATACAGAACGACTAATCCAGTTGCCAACCGGGGGTGATGTCTTGTCTCCAGGCTGCCTAGAGGTTCCCTTCAGTTTCAGAGGGGAATAGAAAGTGACGAATCTGGCATGCTTCATTCTCCCGCACATCTCTCATGATCTGGTCCTCTCAGGCGCCTTCCTTCGTGCAGCGGAGACGTTAAAGAAGTATAAAAGCAGGATCACCGCTGCTGTTCGTCAAGGTGGCAAACGGCTCGGCCTGCGCCTGTTGGGAATGAGAGGCGGTGCCTCCATGGTCTCATTGATGGACAGCCTGTCGGCCCTTCCTGATAAAGGATCAGGCGTCATGGTTATGTCCAAAGCATATGCTATTTCCCGCGGCTTCAACATCGACAGGAATCTTCAGAAATTTCTTGATCTTGAGCTTGCTGATGGTTCTGAAGCCTTCACATGTGGCCTAGTCCGCGGGGTAGACTGGACATTTGCTGCATCACGACAAAGCGTGAAATGCGACTTCTACGTTCTTGAAGACTTGTGTACGAATGTTGTGCTTCCCAACGACTTCTTGTTTGGATTAGACGTTTTTTCCACGGAATCAGAGTTCCTGTCCAAGCTTTCTTATAGCGAAGACTATTCAGAGCTATTGCTCATAAGCCTCAAGGGGAATTGTCCAGCTGAGTTGCCGCCGCATGAAGACCTGGCCAACATCGATCGTGAGTTCAAGTAGCCCTCCATCGCTCATATTCTAGCACGTTGATATGATCGTTTACTTACAAATCGCTCTCGTAGTGACCTCTGCGGATGCTTTTAGCCGCCAGCGAGTACTTGCAGAGCTGCATCATCGCGACGAAGTGGACAACCTAATTGATGCGCTAGACCCTGGCGACCAAGAAACTGCTAGAAGGACAGAATTTGGGAGACGCAGGGTATGGGAGGAGATTCTGCAGAGGCATCAACAACTACAGGTTGTTGCCCAATTGAATGGAAGCACGTCGCCAATGACTGCGCCAACCCAAGACGCACACACAGCGACGAGTAAACGCAGAAGGTGGGCCCTCAGGTTTCGCATACCTTCGTTGAGGGCCTCGAGGAAAGGGGGTTAGGAATTGGCAGCGCAGGCTGGCTGTGTGAAAAGTCCTTTGAAGCATGACGTTCTGGCGTAGCGGGCGAAGTTTGTGAACTGTATCTGTACCCTTTTAGGAGTGGCCGTCTAGCTAATGCGTTCTTGGTCATTGAGTTACTCGCCTGACTCCTTCCTTCTGTAATGACCTTGCCCCTACTATCGTTTTTCCAATGCCATACGACTTCTCAATTCCGAAGACTGTGAACTCACTCCAAACGGCATAGATCTAAACCTTCGACTTGCTCTTTCTGCAGGCAAAGCGATGAATGATGTTCGCGGTTCGGTCTGCTCGACATCCTCCTAAGATCTACGTTCTCATCCATCCGCTTCCTGGATCCTCCAAACGCCAGTTTCCGCGGAATAAGAGCAGCTATGGTCGATATCGTAGTCTGGGTCCCGATACATACTCACGCGCGAACACGGTGGATCACGAGCCATGCCGCCCTCCCTGCCTGGTAGCGTCGCACACAATGTGGAAGTGGCGTCTCGTAACCTTCTTAAGCTTCTCGACATCTGCCGGTGCGATGCCTACTCTGGCTACCTCCTCAACGTGTATACTGGGTGTGAATATAGCTAGCCGATTTTGCAGCAGTTCAACATTCTGGTACGAAATTGTGGCACACCGCCACCATGGAACCCCTCACGTGCCCCGTCTTGCTGCACGATGGTTTCCCAAAGTGTATAGATAATGTTCAGGCAAGCCTCGCATGCAGTCCTGGCGCCATCATCAGCCATGGTCTTTATTTAGCTGCCATCTCGAAACTTTGAGAACAGCGTTCGGCCCGGAAGGTAAGGCGGACGTTGCTCCTTTGGTCGGGAAACCTACCACCTCCCAAGGAGCAGCGACAAAACTGTAAGACTCCCTTACTTATCAACCCTATGTTCATCTGCTACCGGCTCGAAGAGACCTCACTCTACCACCCGCATAACTGACATCTCGTACTGACAGTAGACCATCACTCAAAGGCCTCAAACCGCCTCTTCCAAAGCCCTCTCAGCTCTCCTCCTTTCCGTGAAAGTAACAAGCAACTGATCATACGGCGCAGACCTCCCCGCCACCGCGCGTTTCGAGCTCATAGAATGCCTCTTACACGCCAGAGAGCCACCACATCGACGGCCCTCGGGCAGCGGGACGCCGCACTGGCGTTCGACGTCAATGGAACCTAGAAGTGGGGAGCCCTTGCCATCAGCCACTGCACACGAGCAGACAAATACACTCTCATTATGCATTGTGGATGAATTAGAGTTTCAAATCCACATACTTTCTGTTGCCTGACGCCTCTCGGAAGTCTGAGGCGTCGGAGTGGAGCCCGCGTGTTCGTGGACTGGAGGGGTGAGTGGTGCTTGATCACCTGCAATCAAGACTCCGCTTGAACGAGCGGGGTTCATGGTTAGATGAGATTGGATGGGTGGACTGGTGCGGTGTTACAGTCGATCTCGACTGAGCTGAATAACGACGAGATACTGAAGATTCCGATATTAGCCTCTGCAAGATGGGGCAGTTCTATCATTGAGCCTAAGTACGTATATAGTAGCTACCCACTGTTGCAGAAACAATCCCAGAAAGTGGCGTCGAGAGGCCGAACCGAAGGACAGATTTCTTCGGGTGTCCAAGAAAACAAAGTTCTGGATGCTGCGTGAATCGAAGCTGGACGGCGGACGAGGGAGGGGGCTTTGAAATTTCCGGATGAAAGATCTTCATTAATATGCAGGCAAGGTAGGATGAAGAGTGTAGTCACTTAAAGTCGGGAAAGTTTGAGGTCGCTTGATCGGCACGTGAGCTTCTGCCTGGATCGCGGCAGCTCGGGCTAGGTACCAACGGTGTGGTATCCACTTAAGTCCGACTCGGTCCCGGGAGACGTCGGCGGTGACCCACCCGAGGGGCCGACACGTCCTGGCTTCAGGGAGTCTCTCCCGGCTGTGGGCTTTGCACCCATAGTAATTAGGTCATGCTTTTTCAAGAGTAAGGTAGCTTCCACGAGTTGCTATACACCAGTGACCTAGGTACCTTGGGCTCTCAGGAATTGTGTCCTTCTCCTCCAGATCAACATGCATCTGCGCGTTTGGTTCAACCTCGATTACTGATCAATGGCCATGGATTGTATGCTTCAAGTATAAAACATAGCCTCTCAACGAATTGATCCTTTCGTTATCTAAGGGCAATAGTGAGGCTTCAATTGGTGGATCATCTATGACGAACGGCACTTGATCCTCGCCAAGACACGGCACGGCGGCCAATGTCGACTTGCCTGTCCTTCCTTTACGCTTCGAACCATCAAACTTTGGCACACCTGCCACTAAGTCACTTAGAAGAGAAGCCATGTATATCTAAACGGTCAAAGAGGACCTGCTGGTCTCGCTAGTTCCTGCATCTACGACGATTAGCGACTTGATAGTAAGCCGTGAGAATCGAGGATGGGTGCCTCTGGATACTCGTCCAGCTTGAATGTACTAAAAGGAACATTACATCGTCCGGCTGTGGAAGTATCCTTCCTATTGAAAACTCTACGAAAACTCGACTGGCATGAGCTCCATTTCCGCTCAGTCGTTTTCTATAACTGCAACTTCCTGACGCTCGCAGGTAATCCCGAGGCGTCATCTAGCTCGAAGACTCTTTGACTGCATCGAGAGCAATTAGAAAGCCAAAGAAGACTAACGACAGCTATGATAGCGTTAGCAAAGTGGTGAACTTAAACTAGCAGATTGCAAACATTGCGTGATAGTATCAGAGTAACATACAATCAAGAACCCCAACGCGAGCGTTGTTAGTTCGAACCCTCCGGCTAACGCCTTACCAGCAAACATGGCGTGCTGGAGCCTCCAGGCTCGGAACGCTCCCAGCAAAACGATACAGATCGAGAAGCTGTAGCACAAGGTAGCGAGGGGTTTCCCCACGGCCGTATATCCGAAGCCTGTATCTGACGCCTGCAAGGCGAAGAGCTGCGCTACTACAGTCCCTAGGACAGCCGTAGCTAGTGATGTGCGAAGGTATCCTAGAAACGTTCGCTCGATCGCTTTGAGACAGGTGATATTTCTGTTAGCTATTGGCAATCCATTGATTATGACCAACGAATACGGAGGTAAGACTGGTGAAATAGGGATGACGGGACAGCTTCCGGCCCAGACGGCTGTCTGGTTCACGACATTACGAGACTGTAAGAGTTCGCGTAACACTGGCTGCCGTAGGTCCATCCGAAATGATCAGTGGCCCATCAAGCGCAGCATCATATATGGAATGCGACCTTGTCTGTACCCCAGGGAGAAGACACCCGTTTTAGTGTTGATGAGGGGGGATGTGACATTGTACAATTTTTTGGACACGATGATGCCTATATGCAATTTCTGGCCACGCAAAGATTGCCATGCAGGGAACGGAGGAAGGTAGATGACCACGGCCGCGAGATAGGTATCAAGGATCAGGGTCTGCTGTTCTGGTATCGAGGAAAGAAACTTTCGGGATGAATGGGACGATCAGGAACGACAATCTCAAGGGAATTCTGGACGCATAGTAGAGAGGTGTCAGGGGTCACTAAACCGTGCAGACTGCTGCTTGACTGATCATTCGGTGCAAAAAGATTTGGAACAGTAACATCCCACCATCTTCCCGTATGATCGGGACGGAGTAGCAGAGCTATGAAGATGCGGAAGGGGTTTTCCGAACTCAATCTTGAAGTGCTCCTAATGCGAAACCGTGCGTAAAGAGCAGCTGGACACGCAAAGAACGTACCTAGGTGGTCGCGGCAAGTCTCAAACTCCACTACTACGCTGACTTGTTTGCTCCAAAACCGCTTAATGACACATTCTTTGCTAGAGGACGGCGGGTTCTGGACCGATGATTCCGCACTTGAAGCCTCGGTGCTGCCCTTGTCTTTTCCAGTAGCATTCAGAGCTGTCTCTAGCCGATGTTGGTTTGGTTCATCGTCATTTCGCCTCTCGTGATATCGTGTTGGCCCTTGCGATGTGATAGCGGAGATGTTCTCCGATGAGCGAGGCTCCTGTGACGGCATGGTGTATGTCTCCTGCTCGAAACGAGGCGGCGGTTTGCGTCACGTATTCGTCCTACCAGATGCTGAAAACGGCCCAGACCTTGCCAAGACCAACGGAGCAGCAACAAGAAGACTATTGAATAGATGCAGGAACACCGACTTGGCTGCGTGGGTTCAACGTTGATAAGTCTCCGGTTATGTTGCAGCCTTGTTGTGTAAGTATTGTCTAGTGTCGTCGTGGGATGTGTTGGATTGCAGGCGATCGAACAAATTCAGGTACCATGAGAAGAGGCCTGTGGTGTCATCATCGACGCGAAAGATAACGAACAATTGTCAAACATCATGGAGGAGCCAAGAGATGAATGTGCCCATCCTGACGCTCAACTGGCCGGCAGTTTGAGCTCGGCGATGACACCGGGCAGACGGCAGTCGGGAGCGGCAAACTCCCTCGACATATCGACTAAATGCGGCTGCCGGCGATAGGGACGAGGATTGGCGCAGACGTTGACTTGCCGACAGAGATAGGGCAAATGGTCGCCGATGAAAACGAATGATCCACTAGATAGACAGGGATGGCTAAGTGGTCGGTGGCTTGGTAGACGATTCGATGTTTGAGCCAGAATATGCTTGAATCAGTGTGTAGAAGCCAACGACCGGCACTATCTGCCGTGCGGGAACTTGCTACCATCTCGGTCTACTTGATTCCTCCGGAGAACAGGAAGTTGAAAGATGTGCCCCGCGTAGATTTCGCCGTTGTCCTTGGATGTTCTGGAAAGGTCATCGTACCTAGCGTAGAACTGAGCAAGGGAGTGAGATGGAGACAATGCAGCTCCTCCCCGCACTCCACTGTTCTCCAACTTCTAGATCTGCAACCTAGTGGCAGGAGCATCCACACAGAAATGGTTAACCAAGACGGTGGAGGCAGGCGGTTCCGCTACGGCGGGTTTGACGGTTGTTGTTTGGGTTGAGGTGACCTAAGGTCTTGTGATGGAACGGGACGTACCAAGGAAGTTGAGGACGGGACGAGGCTCAGGTACGGCCGCAATAAGAAAACCTCCGACGGGTGTTCCTGCACTTTCTGCTCACGTCGGCGGTACGTCTACTCCACGGATCACATGTGCTTCCGAACCGAACTCAGGGTCGCATCTCTCCATGCAGGTGCATTTTCTCCGTGACTCCCGTGCCAAAACCATCAGGTAAGGTACCCGAGCTGACGTGCCTTTCGCAACCCGCTTCATATAAAATGGCTGCGAATTAACATGGGAAAGCATGACGTATCACGGTTGAGGTCGACGAAACTGCTCGTTCGTTCAACACCGTCCTGTCGAGAATCATCGCCGCTTCCCTACCTTGGCCAAGACAAACCAAAATAGTTTACAGCACCACCGCGGGACTCTCACTCGATATGCAACTGCAAAGTTTCCCGGAGAGACTTCCGCAACAGTCAGGCACTTTCCATTCGCATGTGAAGTCCCAATGAGAATGGAGTCTTGACAGGGTACATCGCTTTCCGTCCAGAGTCGCACCACATGAGACGAACGACGACCTTTTTGAGATGGACAGCCGATCAAGTACTGGAATGAAAGGACACTGCGCAAACTTCATGGCCTGATTCTTCGGGTCGTTGTTGTTTTACCTACTTAAGGTGACAGGCTGCTTAACGGCGGGCCTCTGCAAGGTGCGGATGCAACGCAGTCATGCACCACACGCAAGCAGTGTCCGAATAGCCCTTTGCTGGGGCCCTCGATTGAAGCCATTCCCGATCTAGCGCCAGGGTCAGTACTACACATCAGGAACAGGGCATCCCATGGCTTTAATACGGCTGGTCCAGGAACGCCATGGTTGTCGGCAAGGCACGGCTGGTCTGCATCCGACTATACTGCAGTTCTTACACCGACGCAACCCTCCCCGATTATCGAAAAGTTCGACGGGCGTCTTACGAGCCGGGATCTTCAGACCAAAAGACAAAACCATCTGGCTCGATATCCGGTTCATGGAAAGATGATTCCCCGCCTTCCCTGGGAATAACGATCCGCATCGATAGCTAGGATATCGGGAGGCAACGACAGAATCCTGGCTTGTGGTAATAGTCTACACCTTGCGAGGTATCATTGCAGCCTTCACCTTGGGATTGACTTCGTTGGACTATCCCCATCTCGCATCAACGACGAAGAGATCGTATGTTAGCGTGAATCCGTTTGACTCCGAGCCTGTCGGAACCTACCTCTCTATGAAAAGGACGAGTTACCTAATTCGGATGGGGAAGCTTCTCAAGAGTAGCCGCAAGCAACTCGGCGATCAGGGATCTGTCAGTGGAACAGCAGCGACCCAGACGCCGTCCTGTTGGGACTCGGAATCCGGACCCCACCTCCCCCAGTCTCGCCATGCAAGTTTGTCCTTCCG